GATTAAAACCTTGTACTACGAAGTTTATATTGTCTGTAGAAGAATGTTACATAATTTATTGGATGTATGGATCCGCGTTTAAAATTAATAAGTGTTAAAACTTATCAATGTATTCAGTTTTATTGGCAAACATGAAAGCTTTTCATTGCCATACTATTTAGACATAAAACGCTGCAGTGTGTAATGATTCTTTCTATGATATTATTAATCTATATTCACTGTCGTAACATCTCTCTTCACGAGATCACTTCTGAATGTATTTCAATTATCTTTTGTGTATCATTTTTTAACATATTGTGAGCTATCTGAATACAGTCTATCACTAATAATTTATATAACGGGTTTACTCCGTTTTTCGACCTTTCAGTGAACGAGCCCTTGTCCCTATTCAGGGTAGATGAAGGAAAGTAACCCAAGTATATAGATTAAGTAGTGTAACTCCCCGAGTCAGTAAAGGTAAATCGGGGCAACAGTACCGAGACCCCTGATGGTCCGAGGCGAATCGATCAAGCGTATTTTCGTGACGAAGCCACCTGACACAAGTCATCAGGAACCGCGTTGACACTGTTTTCAATGTCTCTGCTATGGTTTGATCACCGCGATCTGTTACCCACACCAAATCGTTGTCGCGGAGGCAATATGAAAATGTCTAAATTCCTATTACGAGTTCTGTAGTTGTTAAAGGTGGTCGGAAATACCCTCGTTGTCAACAAAATATCACCTTACCCTATACCCTACTTTTGTCGCCCAAATTAATCCTTGATGCATAGGATGTGATGAGCAATTCACTGTTAAACATATTTTATTGGACTGCATTGACATTCTGTCTACTCTGGAACGTTTTTTATCTAACATTACATGTCTAAGATCCCTTTTTGAAACTGTTGAGATTTGTAAAATTCTAAATTACCTGAAAGATGTTGGTCTATATAATACACTATGACGTACCATTCTAATCTTTTGTGTTAATATACCCATTTAAGATTTTTAACATTTGTCTTTTAACTTTTGGTTTGTTTAATGTTATTTCCTTTTGGATCGCTGTGTGTTTTAATGTTTGATGGCCCTAATGACCTTTTATGTGTTGACGGGCCGTTAAGAATGTGATAATAATAATAACACAAGGATTTTTCGCTTAAACAATTTCTAAATAACCAATACTTTCAACATTTTCTAGAATTCTAGGACAAAATCATCGGACAAAAAATTACTTTGACCCTTACTCAAGGTCACATTGATAAGATCAAATTCTTCTCTTGAAACTGTAAAGTTTATAATCATAATCAATTTGGGCCTTCTGGCGGCCATGACCGATATTTTTTATTTCTTGTGTAGGAATTCCTTGGGGTTAGGCGGTCATGATATGACATAAAATTAAGGTCAGATCTGAGCCATTCATTAGTTATGGGGGGGGGGGGGGGGGGGTAAAGTGGGGGGTAAAATTCATAAACAGCTCCATTATGACAAACCTACATTATATTTTTGGATTTTTTCTTCTTAATTTTCATGTAATAATCCATATCAAAACATTCATTAGTAAAATTGATTGAAAAAAATATTCCATTGTTGAAAAGTAGGTCATGGTAATTAAGCTCATTAATTGCGAATTATATTAAAGATGAACTTAATTTTCTGCCTTAATGTACATAAAAACAATACCTTTATCATGTACCATGTTTTAATAAGAAATATTTTTGCATACTTTAAAGAAAACAAAGAAGAGGCGGTGCTTTGAATTTTAGTTCGACAACTTTGACCATATGTCTGTATCTAGTGGTTTTACCGAAGTATTAACACAGAAATGGCTAATGAAAGATATCAATCTTAACCTCTAGTGTTGCATTTCACTCCACTATACATACAATGGTCGTACACATAGTTAGTTACTCATTGTCACTGTCAGACTCAGACCAGTCCTCAATCATCATTGCGTCATCAGCACAGCTGAGGTAGCTTGATGAGGCAGTTGGGTGTGCTATCCTAGGCTGGTGTCGCTCATAAGAAAGGTACCAGAGAACAGATGCAATATGGGCACAGCAGCCCACTACCCTGGCACCAACCTTACACTGGCAATACCAACCAGATATAGGAGTCAAACCAGGGGAATACTCAATCCACAGGTTGTACAGTTTCGAAGCAACATGTCTGGAACGAATCTGAACTTTAATTAAGCCAGGCTTTTCCCTGCATGCCATTAATTCATACTGGCCATCTTCAGACAAGTGCTCCATGGTATATGACTTTGCCTGCTTCAACTGATATACTCCCATGGTAAGATCTCTCAACTCCGGTTCTGTCAGCTGAGGAAAGTCAGGCAAACTGGCCTCATCAAGCTTGACCCATATGGCTCTTTTCCTAGCCAAACCTTCTTTTTCAACTTGAATTTGCAATTTATTGGGACATTTTGACAGAGCCAACATTCGCTCAGCAATGATGAGGTCATTGGGAGAATCAGAGGCAAGTGGGGGGCGAAAAGCATTACAAATTGCACACACAATTCTCACAAAATCACCTACAACTGGAATGAGAGTGTTGGGCAAAACATGTCCCAAGGTCTTCCACTGCTTAATCCGCCCATTTGCCGACTCCACAACCCACCTTACCTTTGTTACAAGACGAGATTCGTTTGCCTCAGTATGTGTGTGTTGTTTCTGCCCCTTTGGCAAGAAAAATGGCATTTCTGTTTTGATGCCAGCATCATTCAACAGTTCTGTCACATCTCTGAAGCCTCTGTCAACGACAAGAACATCATCATCTTGAAACCAATCCTTGATGTTCTCAGTGTTAGTTTTCAACATGTGTTTTGTAATGTTGGCGTCATTATTTCGACCGTCTGCTAAATATGGGCCTAGGACAGACAGTATATAGCCATCTGAGGCCACAAGAAGCATTGGTTTCAGGAGAGGGCGTCCTTTGTGCATCGAAAAAGAGCGTCGTTGGAAAGTATAGTTGCTGGACTTTTCAACATAAATATATGTGCCATCAGCAACAGCTATAGCGACATCTTCACCAGAGGCAAACATCTTCCTTGCAAATACCGTTGTATGGTTTTGAATTACTTGTTCTCTAGTGATGTGTTGCAGGCCAAGGTGTGAAGGAACGAAGTGGGTCATCAATGCTTGGCGAGCTGAATGAATACATTTTCCACATATTCTCTTTGTCATGTTGAACAGAGAAGCTAATATTGATAAAGACATGCCAGTCCTCAACTTTACAAGCAGGATGGCTAATGCAGTCCTTGCGCTTCTGTTCAGTGTAGAGTAAAGAGAGGGATTAACTGATCGTAAAAGGTCAGAAAATTGATTTTTATACAGACCTGTGAGACGGTAGTAATCTTGATCAGTTAATCCATCTGAGGAATCAAAGTCTAAACAACTTTTCTTTGAAGCAGCTGCCCTAAGTGTCAAAAGGATCTCTGATATTTCAGAAGAATCCAGTTCAGTGTCTTTGCTGGAATATGCGAGTGAAGATAGACTATCAGATGGGAAATCACCATTCACTATGTGGGAAGAACAACATCTGCAGGTGTTTGGGACAAGGATACCTGTCTTAATAAAAATCTTTACTCGCATTTCTGTTGAGAGCATTACCATTTTACTTTTACATTCCTCTCTTAACATTTTACAAATGAAACATCGAGATTCACCTAATGTAGCCCGTGGAATGTCAAGTTTGATTTTTTTGTTTTCAGGTGACTCAAGCTGGTGCTCTACATCGCTACTAGGATGTTCAGTAGATGAATGGTGATTGTAGTATCTTCCCCTGCATTTTTTACATACGGGGTCACCAAACCTTAAGGCATCATTAATATTTGCTTTCAAGTAAGACAGAATGTCTGTTTTATTCAGACAACAGAGCCTTACTTTATATTGTGCTTTACAACAAGCGCACTGCCTGTGCACTGGCATATTGATAAAAGAAAAGAAAACAGGGCATAAACTTAGAAAACACTCCTTATTAAAACCTTAATTTGGATGAACAAAATTATGAACAACAGTTGAATTACAATTATATGTCTTAATTATATGTACAATATCAGTGACAGTCAAACCAAGAAAGTATACTAAAATCGCTGAGGTTGTGAAGTGTAGTTGCCACGTATTAATTGTATATATAAGGGTATATGAACTGTCTGAGACAAGGTGCACATGTATACTCACCGGTAGACACAAAGATCCTTAACAAGGTATATGTCAGGGGATGGCATTATATCCCGCCATTTTAGCTTAAAACTCTACCAGCCGTACCAAACTGGTTTAAATATCTCTACATTTATCAAGCAATTTATTTTAAACAGTTCTTAATGCAGTACAATTTAACATTTATTTATTAGATATTTATTATCTAATATAATTACATAAGACAACTCTGATATCAACCAAAAGTTGTCAAAAGTGTGAACCCGCCCCCTCCCATTAATTAATTCTCCATTTTCTATAAAGTATTCAAAAATAAATCTTACTAAAGCATGACACATGATAAAGGTATTGTTTTTATGTGCATTAAGGCAGAAAATTAAGTTCATCTTTAATATAATTAGCAATTAATGAGCTTAATTACCATGACCTACTTTTCAACAATGGAATATTTTTTTCAATCAATTTTACTAATGAATGTTTTGATATGGATTATTACATGAAAATTAAGAAGAAAAAATCCAAAAATATAATGTAGGTTTGTCATAATGGAGCTGTTTATGAATTTTACCCCCCACTTTACCCCCCCATAACTAATGAATGGCTCAGATCTGACCATAATTTTATGTCATATCATGACCGCCTAACCCCAAGGAATTCCTACACAAGAAATAAAAAATATCGGTCATGGCCGCCAGAAGGCCCAAATTGGCACTCCTCCTTTGATGCCATGAAAAGGAAACAAAGTATTCTGAAATCGATAAATGTGTACATGCTCATTTTGATGTTTTCTGGTCCGTACTGAATCAAGATCATTCAAACTAAATGTTCACAGAAAACTTACAATTTTAACGATTTGGTTACCTTTTTTGTAAACTTTGGCGTTTTTATCTCGACAAATGCCGCCCCCACGGCCTTCATGTAACTTTTCTTGCTGCTGAATGTGACCCTTCCACTACCTATGCAGAGACAAACACCAATCAAATATGAGATAGTAGAGAAGTGAAGGTTAAAGGTCATAACTGAAAAGTAAACATTGGTCAAGGTAAGTGGAATGTGGCTGAACAGCATACATTTTATAATGTAGATAATATCAGACAAATTTAAAAATATACAAGAACTGTCTCCTCTTTGGCAGTATAACAGAACTTGGTAAATTGTGACTGGAATGAAAGCCTTCATGATCTAAACAATCCTGTATGGAATATTGTTGGAAATTACTATAAAGAATCTCACCAATAGGATATTTGTGTTTGTCGGTGTCAATGCCAGCATAAACAACATTTCCAAATAAGTCATTCATAATATTGGCCAGTGATTCAGCTGTCATCATACCATGGAGGGCACCCACAAATATTGTTTTGTTGGAGTCAAGTCTCTGAGAAGCTTGACGGACATAATTGCTATCCCCCTGAATCCAAGGGATCACTTGTACCTGATGGAAGAAACAATGTCCAGAATCATAAAACCAAGAAACCTGATATATCTGTCCTCCTGAATACACTCTGTCATCACGTACATTATCAACGCAAAGTCGAATCAGCTCACAGTTTGTAAAATTATTTCAAAGAAGATTCTTGAAAGGTCTGGTTCTTATAGATTTTACAAAAAAACCCATGGGAATATCAGACTAGTAATGATTTAGTGTTAGGATACAGTAGAACCAAACAGTGAATTAAACTGCATCATACAGCTGTTTAATTCTTCTAGGACTTGTCAGTGATGATAAAGGCCTAAATTTTGAAGCCTAGAAGTCAAATGAGAAAAATCCCAAGTGATTAAAAGTCAAAATCTAGATGAGTTGGTGCAGCAGTCCTATAATGTTATAACTTTCATACATCAGATAATTTTAGAACAATAGTAAGTAAATGTGTATAATCTGAATCATGCCACTATTTCAGTGAAACATGGTAATAATAAACCTCCAGGTCTAAAGTCAATCGGGGATGAATCTGTAACTTTGACAGTTAACGGTGAATGTAACAAAGTGTCATCATAAACTTCAATGCCTGCGATCTAATTGGGGCCTATTACTGACTAGTCTAACACTCAACCAATCAGATGTTGCCAAGTAATACACCGTGGCTATTACTTAGTATAGTTACAGGAATATTTTTAAACTTTGGTTGACTTAATTCTGATTTTCTACGATAGATAAAAATAGAATCTCACCTCCTTGGCTCTCATCCTACGACTAGAAATCTTGTAGTAGTAGTCACCACTGCTGAAGTCGTGTGTACAGTCTTGTAGCATTGCTCTTATAGCTTTCTCTGACTCAAACAGTAAGTACACATAACCTGTATCAGATATATACAACAATGTATCAGATATACACAACAATGTATCAAATATATACAACAATGTATCAGATATATACAACAATGTATCAAATATACACAATAATGTATCAAATATATACAACAATGTATCAGATATATACAACAATGTATCAAATATACACAATAATGTATCAAATATATACAACAACGTATCAGATATATACAACAATGTATCAAATATATACAACAATGTATCAAATATATACAACAATGTATCAAATATATACAACAATGTATCAGATATATACAACAATGTATCAGATATACACAATAATGTATCAAATATATACAACAATGTATCAAATATATACAACAATGTATCAGATATATACAACAATGTATCAAATATACACAACAATGTATCAAATATATACAACAATGTATCAGATATACACAACAATGTATCAAATATATACAACAATGTATCAGATATATGTATCAAATATACACAATAATGTATCAAATATATACAACAATGTATCAAATATATACAACAATGTATCAAATATATACAACAATGTATCAAATATACACAATAATGTATCAAATATATACAACAATGTATCAAACTGTTTGTATTATGTAATTGGCATCCTCTTCAGATGAAAATAGGTAGGGTCTGTTTGTACTGTCTGAATGGATTTCCTGACAATAAGTAGAATCCTTTTTAATATATATATATACATACTTTAAATACCTATCAATATAAGTATGGTTTGAATATAACTTCTGTATCCACACTGGTAACATATCACTGTATCAATCTCTGATTCAAACAGGTATACACATCCAATCAGGAAATTAGTTAAAATTTGTTATCAATTTATCAATTAAAAGTGGATAAGCTTTCTGATTTAATCATTGTTATCAATTTATCAATTAAAAGTGGATAAGCTTTCTGATTTAATCATTGTTATCAATTTATCAATTAAAAGTGGATAAGCTTTCTGATTTAATTACGTAATCGGCTGACTATATTCACTATTAATAGAAACTGAATGCATTCTCTGTTGCAATAATATTTCCCCTTTTTTATATCTTTACTCTAGAATACCCCACTTAATCTAAAATTTGCATAAGAATGAAAATTAGCATCTTTATCATGCATGAATATTGAATTTGCTTTTCACTTAATATCTCTGAAAATCTATATTACATGGACACCAATGTAAATTTTTCTGTTTATGAAAAAAGGCAGAATATGACAACGTTACATTCCTGAGAACAAGATATGATCAGGACAAATGCTCAATATTGGCCTCATGAAATTAGACAACTACACCTATATATACAACACTATATACTAAAACCACAATTTTAAATGGACTTAGTAGTACATTAGTTCATAAGAAATTTCTCAACCTTGAGATTTTTTCATCTGGACTGCATTTACAATGCGTGTAATTGGTGTCCATTCATTCTTAGAATTCATCAGTTTCATTCAATCTATAGTATAGGCATTTAAACTATTTCAAAATACAAATGTGGCATTAAGTCTTCACAAATCTGAAATTGAAATCACATTGTCTGGAATCTGATAAAATTCACTGATATTTTTGTGTTGATTTTTGCTGTTACAATTAAAGGATCATTCTAATGGAATAACAAATCTCGTGAGAATCTTGCGAAATCTCATATAAATCAAAATCTATTGTGGAAATGAACTTTTTACCATCTTTTCCAGGCCATTCAATTTTGAAATTCCCAAACTTGTTGAAGGCAGACTGAAGTCCAGCTGAAATCACAAAAATAATATTGTAATAAATACGGAGAGACTTTGTTGATATATAGCAGACGGTATGATTTCGTATACTTTTTTTTTATATATTCCTGTCCCAGGTCAATTAAACAGAAATATATCATTTCTGTTAAAATGAATACAAATGACACAGAAAGAGTTTAATAAAAAATGGAACACAGAAAGCATAATTTTATGTCATTATCAATCCTACTAAGTCTGAAATAAAATTGTTTAACAATAGGCAGGGGAAGGCCAATAACTCTTTCAAAGATAACAAATTCAACATAAGAATAAAGTAACATACTTTGATAACACAGCTTGTGGGGTGAGGCAAACAACTTGTCATGGCGATTACTTTTTTTTAAGCTTGAAAAAGAGGACCTGTGATCACGTAAAGGTTATACTGACTGGACAGGCACACAATGCCATACCATCTTGTTAAAACTTCTGACAGGCCAACAGAAATTAATACAAAACTTTATTCCTACAATTAATGCAGCAAAGGTATATAGTACTCAAAATGTAATGTTAAATAGAAACCGAAATTGCAGATATGGAAAATATAGGTCACAGTGACCTAAATTTGAATTGAGGTTTCTAGGTTTATAATGGTACACAAAAATACAAACATACATTTCTTTTACATAAAAGAAACATTACCTTCTGTGATGTCCCAGGGAACGCCCCCCAGAAACACTTTACAGGAGTAAGTAGGATTCTTGTGGTTACGGGGGCACAGTTGTCCACTCCAGGTACAGCTGGCTTCACACATGGCTGTGAAAAAATTAGAGGTCATTGCAAAACAATTTTAGTGCTGGCCACATATTTAGGTGTTAGCATGCAGTCAAGGTCATTTTGAGGCAGGTCTTGTAAAAGGAGGTGGCTACCTCTCTGAAAACATACGAGAGGCCCATCACACTACATCCAAAGCAATTACGGTAATAAGAGTCCTGTACATTGGCAAAATCACACTGACCAATCTGTTCCCCAACTTCCTTATAAACACAATCCACAAAGGGTAAGAAGCGTCAAATCTCAAATCTTCACCTGAAGTTAGGGTAAACACTAACTGACCAAATTATCACTACCCCCACGAAAGGAGATGTTCCCAAACAATAATAATTGGACTCAAACATGGATGTGGAATAAAAAAAGGGGCGTTGATGGTCTTGACAGTTGGATTCTATGTAAATATCTACTCACAGAAACAGACATGAGTAACACAGAAATCTCGATAGAAAGTTGGGGGGTTAGTTTACCTGCAGCATTCCTGTGGAGACGAGCAGCACGGTCGATGGCGTAAGGATCTACGTTGGCCATAAGCATAGGATTGACAGAGTATCCCCCTGCCCTGTTGGAATGGATCAGCTGACTAGCCATTGAGTTCATGGCTGCGTTTGCACTGGTGGCCTGGATCAGCTGCTGTTGTTGAGCCTGGGCCTGGGCAGCCACCTGAGCCTGCTGTTGCTGAGCATTGAATAGCTGAGTGGCTACATCATGTACCTGTGGTTTTGCTGTCCTTGTCCCAATGTTTAGGGAATTCTGTTTTGAAATAAAGAACCCTATGTGTATCTGCTCTTAATAACATTGTATTATTTAATGTTTCTGAACCACTTCCAATCACATCTGTCACATGACCAGCATACTGTGGTTGTACATTAATCTGTAACCTATTTTAGTGCTGGAGTACATATGTAATTTTTAAACAATGACCTTGACCTTTATATTTGTTATAAAAACCATAGTAGTAGGAACAGTAATTAAATGATTAAAACAGTTCTGAATATTTAAGCAGTAAAGGCTTAAAATACGCATTTCAGTTTCTTAGCATTCCCACAAAACTTCAGCTCAAGGGTACCAGCGGAACTTGAGAGAAGTTTTAATTTGTGTCATTCAAAATGGCAGCCATACAGAATTTGACTGACTGACCCAAAAATAGCAAAACCTGGTCAGATCCATCTCAGGATTATTTCATGGAAGTTTCAGCTCAATCTTTGTTCAAAGAAACCATTCCGGCACAATCATATTACAAAATGTCAACCATGGCTGCCATATTGAACTTTTAATGAGACCGAAAAACAACAACAATTCGTTTCCCTTCTATAACATTGCCACCAATATATTCAGCTCGATGTCACCCGTTATGAGTATAAAAAATTCTACAGGTACAAAGTACAGAAATACTACAGGAAAACTACAGAATGTGAGTAAAAACAATTTACCATCATGTCCATCAGAGCGCTGTCAGAACCCTCACTGCTGATACCACTGGTGTCAGAATCACTAGGAGACATACTTCTGCCTGTGCGTCCTCCATTCATGAGGCTTGAATAGATCATCTTCTCCACAGGGGAAAGGGCCGAATCGTTAAGGGAGCTGGATGGAGAGAGCGTTCCATAGTCACTGCAACGGTAGTTTTTTTACCTTAGTTGAGGGATGTAAAGATAACCCTCACATAAGAAATATTAAGACAGACTCTCAAACCTTTACCTAGACACATTAAGACTGCCTCTCAAACATTCACCTAGACACATTAAGACTGCCTCTCAAACATTCACCTAGACACATTAAGACTGCCTCTCAAACATTCACCTAGACACATTAAGACAGCCTCTCAAACCCTCATATAGACACAATAAGACAGCCTCTCAAACCTTCACCTAGACACGTTAAGACTGCCTCTCAAATCCTCACCTAGACACATTAAGACAGCATCTCAAACCTTCACCTAAACATACTAAGACAGCCTTTCAAACTCTCATACTGACAAATTAAGACAGTCTTTCTAACCATCAGCCTCTCAAACCCTAACCTAGACACATTAAGATAGTCTCTCACCTAGATACATTACGATAGTCTCTCACCTAGACACATTAAGATAGTCTCTCACCTAGATACATTACGATAGTCTCTCACCTAGATACATTACGATAGTCTCTCACCTAGACACATTAAGATAGCCTCTCACATAGACACATTCAGACAGCCTCTCACAATGACACATTAAGACAGCCTCTAACATAGACACATTAAGACAGCCTCTAACAAAGACACATTAAGACAGTCTCTCACATAGACACATTCAGACAGCTTCTCATATAGGCACATTAAGACAGCCTCTCACATAGACACATTAAGACAGCCTCTCATATAGGCACATTAAGACAGTCTCTCACACAGACACATTAAGACAGTTTCTAACACACATTAAGACAGCATATTAAATCTCAGAAAAACAATTATTACACACGATAAAGAGTAAGTGAGCAGGAATTCCTATAATTATTCCTTCCATTCCCAGTCTTTTCAGTCTTAACTTAATCTGCCCTGTGGATTGCATGTACAAAGTGATTACTAAATCCTACCCCCTTCACTAAAAGGAGGATATGTTGCCTGTGTCACATAATCAGATATATTGAACATCCTCAATTTTCTCACTGCTATTCAGGAAATAATTTATTTTTGAAGTATCTTATGCTTATAATTTTTTTTCAACTTACTTCACAGGGCATTTTTGTGGTTGCTAGTGATGGTACAAATCTATTTCACATGGAGTATAGGGAAGGACAACTGGTATGTACTAGGATGCTACTTACAACGGGCTACCATCAATGTTCTATGCAGTGTTACCATGTCACAAACTGAGTAAGTCATCAACTTTGATGCACATTTTAAGGGACATTAATGATGGAACAATGCATAGATTACACAACAACTTATAACAATGCAAGAAAAATAGACAAAGAAAGTTCTGTTCTGTGGATATCTCAACTCTCATGTAAGAGTTCAGTTGGTGAGTACTCTGCAATCCTCAAGAGATTCTAAACAGTAAAAATTAGAGCTCCTTAAAAAGAGAAGAATCCACAGTAACTCAACCGTTACAGCAATACCCACCTGTTTGGGGTACATGGGGAGCGCCCCTCTACGCCCTTAATGGCCCTGGAGTACTTGGAAGGTGTGGTGTAGTCCTGTTTCACTGTACCTTGGTAGGTATATGCCTGCTGTTGGGTGTGACTCTGTGAAGCAGGCATAGAGAAAAGCTGGAACCCTGAAACATATTATAATATTTAGAATCAAGAGTAAAATCAGTAGATAATATAACACTGTAACCAACCAGCTGAACTGGATCATTAGACTTCCCTGGGTGTGTGGCACTGCCTATCTGGTCAGTCTCTTACACGACTCACCTGGGTGTGTGGCACTGCCTATCTGGTCAGTCTCTTACACGACTCACCTGGGTGTGTGGCACTGCCTATCTGGTCAGTCTCTTACACGACTCACCTGGGTGTGTGGCACTGCCTATCTGGTCAGTCTCTTACACGACTCACCTGGGTGTGTGGCACTGCCTATCTGGTCAGTCTCTTACACGACTTACCTTGGTGTGTGGCACTGCCTATCTGGTCAGTCTCTTACACGACTCACCTGGGTGTGTGGCACTGCCTATCTGGTCAGTCTCTTACACGACTCACCTGGGTGTGTGGCACTGCCTATCTGGTCAGTCTCTTACACGACTCACCTGGGTGTGTGGCACTGCCTATCTGGTCACCTGGGTGTGTGGCACTCTCTTCAGTCTCTTACACGACTCACCTGGGTGTGTGGCACTGCCTATCTGGTCAGTCTGGGTGTGTCTTACACGACTCACCTGGGTGTGTGGCACTGCCTATCTGGTCAGTCTCTTACACGACTCACCTGGGTGTGTGGCACTGCCTATCTGGTCAGTCTCTTTACCTGACATACCTGGGTGTGTGGCACTGCCTATCTGGTCAGTCTCTTACCTGACATACCTGGGTGTGTGGCACTGCCTATCAGATCAATTTTTTTCATGACTTACCTGGGTGTGTGGCACTGCCTATCTGGTCAGTATCTTACCTGACTCACTGGGTATGTGGCACTGCCTATCTGATCAATATCTTACCTGACTTACCTCGTTATGTGGCACTCTATCTGGTCAGTTTCTTACATGATCTTACATGTGACACTGTGGGTATCATGTTATATGCTCATTTTGTAAATAATACCACCAAATGCCCCTAGGATACACTATTTTGTATCAATCTGATTACCCTCTGCCTGGTGTCCCAAGGCAGTGAGTGTTAGCTTGCTTCATGCACCTTGGCTTGGGTTTTCCTTTTGATTGCTAAATTGCCACGTTTATCTTTCACATTGATTTCTGCCAGGGATTCTCCCCCTTTAAAACCCAGATTAATCTCTAGCAGTGTTATACATTGTAATGTAGCATGCATGATGTCCACACACTTACCTGGGTAGGCAGCTGTGCTGTACATTGTATTGTAGCCTGTCTGTCTGATGTCCACACTTACCTGGGTAGGCAGCTGTGTTGTACATTGTATGGTAACCTGTCTGTCCGATGTCCACACACCTGGGTAGGCAGCTGTGCTGTACATTGTATTGTAGCCTGTCTGTCTGATGTCCACACACTTACCTGGGTAGGCAGCTGTCTTGTACATTGTATCGTAACCTGTCTGTCTGATGTCCACACACTTACCTGGGTAGGCAGCTGTCTTGTACATTGTATCGTAACCTGTCTGTCTGATGTCCACAGACTTACCTGGGTAGGCAGCTGTGTTGTACATTGTATCATAACCTGTCTGTCCGATGTCTTGAATTGCAGATTGTGGTAGTGTCATAGGAACACCTCCTTGCATTGCATCTGTAACAAAAGTAAAGTCTTCAGATCAGATCCAGATGGCATGTTGTCGGTACATGTTGTTCACCAAAGTAAAGATAATCCATGATTGTGTGTTAGAACTTCCTTCTCACAACTTACGTTTTGTCTGTTCTGGGGGAATGTTCATGCCACAAAGATTTGTTAGATTGAGCGTGTTGTCCAGAAGAGCGTTAATCTGTTTGAAGATGTCTTGTTGATTGAACTTTACACCTTCTCCATCAAAGTCCTCTACATTGATGGCTGGCATTTCCTGAAACATAGAATGTCTTTCACACATGTGTTTACTTACAAACTAGTTGCTAGCAAATATCTTTTCAGTAACCAATTATTTTACAGACTTTCTTTAAAGTGCGTGTAGATAGAATCAGTTAAAATATTTTCTGGCCATCCAAAGTTTCAAAGTATAATACTGATGGTGTCCAATCATCAGTGATTTTATGCATGCCCTGTTTCACAGCCAAAAACAGGCTGTTCTGCTAAAGCCAAGTTGTATGTGACTTTCCAAAAATGAAGCAAAATCCAAGAATATTTTCAATTGTGTAAGAAAAACCTAATTTTTTCCTAATTGATGATGGAGTAGTCTGTTGTTAAATCAAGGTAGAAAACTGTATTTGATTACTTTATGACAGAATAATAGCAAAATACCAGCACAAGGTGCTTTATTATTTCATCAAAGGCATCCATTTTAGACAGGAATTCTGGATTTATTCCCATATTTGCCACATTCTTCCTTTCTGGGGAAACATCAATTTTAAAATGGTAAGCTTGAAGTAGTTCACAAATAAATTCTTCCTAAACACAAGGGAAGGAAGCTTATTTGAAGATATATACATTATGTTATGAAAATAACGTCTGAACGATAACTTCTACATATTACAAATGATTTAATATCCAGAAGGTTCAAATTTATCCGCAAGTCAACAAACCTATCAAAAGTGCATTTTATCAATTAATATTTGAAAGTTCTACTGTTTTTAAAAGTAGGCGGTGAGTGGTAAAAATTACCTTCTACATGAAACTTAATCAGATTAGTTCAATTAGTTATTATGTATATGAACCAATTAAGATTAATTTTTTTATTAATTAAACAATGAAGTTTTGTTATGACAATTGACTTTATGTTACAAGATGATATATTACAACAGGCAGTGAATACTGTTACACCAATTTTCTCCGAAGAGCAACATGGAAATTTCCACAAATTCTGAACAAAATTATTCACTCATAAAAATAATCACGGAGACATTATCTCAATAATATTAAAAGCCACCTACAATACTGTTACAGATATTTAAAATTGACTCTATAAACTCGAAACTTTACAAGTCCTTACTGAAACAACATCAGAACCAACTTGTCTTGTATAGGTCATTATATACAGAATTACCAAGAGTGTTGTTTATTGAAGGCTTGTACAGTGTAACCTACTTGATGGTGTTCATGTTTTTTATTAGGTCTTTTACCTGTCAAATGTATGATCATCCATGTTTCTGAAATTCTTGATGTTTTAATAGAATTCATCTAAGAGTAAAAACTATGACCATGTGATCCTCCAATGTGCAAGTCAACACTTGTAAGCAACAATAAATACTTTTTTCCTGTTTAGGGTTTTTTCACAGCATCTTCAACAGAAGTCATTTTCAATAACGTCACAATTTGAAACCAGTTTATATTTTCTAATGACAATATGTACTGCCAGCTGTTTTATTTATCACAATCCCAAATTTAATACATTTTGATATGTTCTGTATAAATCCATCTATAAGACATCTGTTAGTCCTTGGTATCCATAGTAACAACAATCCTGGTGATAATCTACAGGTTATTTCCACTGATACAGTATATTCTTCTCTGAAGAGTTTCACAGTTGATTCAGTATTTCACACGCTAATGACAAACAGTGTATGATAAGTCATTCTGTAGCTCTCACAATCCACAGATAGCATCTGATTGTAATGTCTGTGTTTCTGTAAATCTTAATCTGTAATGTCATCTATATATAGTTTAGGGATTTAAAATCTTTAGGTATTTTCTTTCAGTTTTGCAATTTCTGTAACACAACCTATATCAGGCACTGAGAGCAAGTATTTCAATATCTTTAACCTCCAGGATTTTATAAGCACAGTATAAATATAACTTGTTTGATTATAGTTATTAAAAACTTCAAATAATTTTCACAAATTACACATATTCCCAGCATCTATCAGTATTTTTCACGTCACTTGCCAATATATATTTTTCAAAAGACTTGGGTCAATATTTTCCAGATGCTATCAGGAAGTATTTTTCACAAAGCATGTCAATATATCCCAGCATCATGTACTACAGTATAGATATCTAGTAAATCTGTCTTGTGTCAGGCCTGGTCACATCCTGCCTGAATTCTAACACTTTCCCTCCATGTGGCTGTCTACACTCTCTAACACACTGCCAGTCGACAATATAATCACTTGTCCCCCAAAAGCCAGAGAAATGGAAAGTTACATCCAGATCTCTGATTGGTCAATAAGACCCTATGATAAAAACCATGACGAAATATAGATGGTTTTATAAGATGGATTTGACCACTGGCTCAATACATCACCACTGTGTGATAAACTGACCACCAATTAAAACTGGTGTATACTTCCTGCAGAGCTATCTATGTTAGTCTCCCCATCAAAATTAAACACAGCACACTTATCAAGTCTAGTTAGCTTGGAAACTTGTAATTAAGATATTGGGAAAATAGATCTCTGTAGTAAGTGGATATTGACTCTGTAAGACTTTTTTCCTCTTTGGTCTGTAAAATGTTTGAAATTTTGCCAGGGCATATTTAAAATATACCCTACTTGAGACCAATTACAAATGAGTAAACTCCATTGAATATTTGTAAACTTGTGTCAGAACAACCTGTATTTCCTAATTAAACCTTGTCTGAATATAATTATAACAGACTTCAAAAGAAAACAATCGCAGATATAACTGAACTCATTGGTAACATCATCCCAATGTCACCCTAAAATGATTTAATTTGAGGAATTTGTATGCGACATAAAATACAAATTTTTTTTTTTTCTGATCCAATCTAAAATGGACAAAACATAATTGGGCTAAGGACCAAGGAAACCTACAAATGAAATTTTAGAATGATTTATCTGGTACAACAAGAAATAGCAATAGATGGTTACTTATCAGCTACTTTTTCTCATGACCCCAAACCATTTGATGATGATTTTATCAAAGGGCAATAACTCTGTAATTAAGGTGTTGATGACCTGACATTGGTACACAGCATATTGTCTTAGTGTGATCGACAATTGATTTAAATATAAGTAAAGTTATGCCCCAAATACAAAATTTTAGCAAATGGACATGACTCTGTAAATATCGAAGTTTGAGCCATGAATGCAGATCATGTACACAGCACATCACCTTAGTATCTGATCGGGCATCCATCATCTATTTTGCTGAATCTTTATTGGTTTACAAGTTTAATTTTTTCCCTTCTTTCAAACAGTAGTAACAAATTTCAAATGACCCAAATTAGAAAAAACAATGTTTGTTTGAAGCCATCTTAAATATCACACTTAAAAATGTTGGCATGCAGAACTAGACCAGTACCGATTTTGTCCATATTTTATTTCTCATGAAGATCTAAATCCACAGTCCTTCAGAAGTAGGTTAACAAGAAACTGTTTTAATGTACAGGAGGAGGAACACACAATTTCATGATCGTGATTTTTTGTTAATTATTAAAAATTCAATCAGTCTCATTGACTCCTGAGAAGTAAAAAGTTCAAAATATTTCTGCTACTTTAAACTTAAATTTAATATACTAGTCTTTGTCTTTGTAAAGTCTGAAGGTATGTTACTTGTCTCACCAGACCAGAAAGCTAACACTAACACCATGGGGTATTTTCTACATTTATCTCCCTTCTAATTGGTCACACCCTTGGTCAACTCTCTCATCTGGACACAGTGGTAATCGCTCATCCTCCCTAAACAGACTGGCCTTGTCCTTGACCACACACACTGGTCAGGCAGTGGTCACTAGGATGACCTACACCACCAGAAACACTGATTTAATTACTCCCTATGGGTCAGTTTACTTCTCATACAATTTTGATCTTATCTGCTGTTGAGCTCTAAACACTTACAACATTATACTGATAGAGTTTTGGTTTAAATTTCAAAACTCACCTATAATTGTAAAATCTGCATCTATACACATACTCTACATGTATAACATATTATAGAAGAATTGTTCATTTTAGCTCTATATTAACTAGTATTACAGTGATAATCTAAATTCTGGCTTTATTAACCTTTGTAGTTGTACTTATTGCTAATTACTCTGAATTATTGTATTGTTTTGCTGTTCACTGTAGTACAAAATAGCAGGTTGCATATTTTAAAGAAATGAAAACTAAAAATAAAAAAAATAACTGTTTCAAGAGGCAAAAACAAAGCAAATTTTAATTTTTTCTGTCTTTGTCTTCTTACAATTTCTTTCAAGTCAGTTTACCACAAAAAGGTTCTCAAAAAAGATTTAGACATCAAAAAATATTTTAAATCTTGATGTCATGTTAGGTTTAACATATCAACTTCTGACAAATCACTACAGCTGCGTCAGTAATCTTATATTGTAACTGTCCTTGCAGACAGTATTTGCTTTGTTATGTAGCAAAACACAGACTGTTTCTCTAAGCCAAAATACTGTGCTATGTTCCCACAATTACAGGTGGCTGTAAAAATCAAGTAACAAAGGTACTGGCTGTAAAGATGTTACATATTCCAACGGTAATATGAATTGAATGAATTAATACATAGCATGTAGGTTATCCTATACAGGACTGCACTTTTTCCATTGCATTAACTCAGCTTTTTTTATACAACACAATTTGTATTGAAAATTGGAATATATGAGGCTGTTAAATGACGGGAAAGGGTTGGGTATTGTGATTGTGTCCAAAATCTCTCATTTAAAATCTTTTTCAATTTTGATAAAAAATGATTGCATTAATTGCACTTTCTCTATTTTCCATTTTTACAAAAGATACATGTATAATTCCTACTTCTATATCAGAATGACTCAACATTGTGCTTTATGTTAATCAAAAGTGGCAACTCAATAAACTAATTTCTGTTTTTTTTTAATGAAACAAAGAAATATGATCTATATCTACAGCAGGATGATTGCAAGGAGTTTAATTGTAATGAGAGTTGATCACAATCTGGGACAGGAAAGTGATGTATTTATAATCACAACCTGGGACA